GACAAAGGCTAAAAGGGAGCAACCCTTTAAGAATCTGGCACTTCTCTCTAAAAAAAACACTGTGCAATAGAAATATAATGTGAGCCACATACGTGATTTAAAATTTTATTGTAGCCACATTTTAAAAATTAAGAAAAATAGTGGGATTAATTTTAATATTTTTATTTAATCCAATATATCCAAAACAGTTATCTCAAAATCCAATCAATATAAAACTTATTGAGATTTTACATTTTTTCACCTCAAGTCTTTAAACCCAGTGCAAATTTTACACTAAGGGCATATCGCATTTAAGAGTAGACACATTTCAAGCACTCAATAGCCACATGTATCTAATGGCTACCATATTGAGCAATGCAACTCTAAAAAGTTCTTATATCCATGAAAAATGGAAGGCAGGATCACTTGTTTCACTCAGTCTTCGGAATTAAGAATAGGTACTTAGAGGAGAATATTGGAAGAAAGTTGACCAAAGTGACTTCCTTGGAGAACATGATAAAATAGATAACTGGTCTTCATCCAGTACAATTAATGTTATCATTTAACTGTATTAAGGGTTACAACAAATGTCAGGCTACATGATCTGTTTCCTTTAAGAATAAGCTAAAAAATCATTTGCACTGTGAAGCCATTAATGATTACACCCATCTTTCCTTTTCTTTCACAAGTTAACATTAATTCTAGTTAGTATACCCATCTTTCTATACACCAGTTGGTCACTTGACTTTTATCTCTTTGCCTCTTCTAATTTTCTGCCCTTATACATGGCAGCCAGTGAGGTACAGTAGAAATTGCATAGGTTATGAAGTAAAAAGGCAAAGAATTGCTCCCTCAGGTTCAGTCCTGCCTAATGCCTCTTGCTCTCATTATCCATGTCCCTACTACTGAAAGTACCCACCCACAGGGCCAGTCAATGGGATAGAGGCAGGATACACAACAGGAACCTCAGCATCCCCATGGGTTGAACCTAGAATTGACAGCACTGATGGACATTTCCCTGCTTACTGTGTTGAACCAGTCCATGACTCTGAGCTCCTACCTGGGGATTCTCTACTGAATATTGCAGAATAGCTCAGGGTCCTTCTTCATTGCTGTGATTTATCTGCTGGAGCAGTCTCTCCCTTGATTCTGGATATTGCCTAAAGCCCAAACTTGATCTTCCTGTCAGCCCCTGAGATCAACCTGCTCAGGGTTCTCGTGGAGGCCATACACTGCAGCTAGTTCAGTTTGCCAGCCTCTCATTGCTTCTTGTTGAAGATTCCACATATCAACCCTCAATCCCACACCATCTTTGAGCCCACTAACTATATGAAAACCTACTTCCTAATTTGTAAAGTTGGAGTTAATAACATTTACCTTATAGGATTATTATAGGGATCAATGAGTCAATGCATGAGCAAATGCTTTGCCAACTACAAAGAACTAAGTGTTCGATATTGAGTTATTTGCTTAGAACTTACTATATGCATGGCATTAAACTCATAAGTAACAATCTTTTTGAAACTTTTAAGTTCAGGGGTACACATGCAGGGTATGCAAATTTGTTACTTAGGTAAATGTGTGTCATGGGGGTTTGTTATACAGACTATTTCATCACCTAGGTATTAACCTGAGTGTCCATTAGTTATTTTTCCTGATTCTCTCCTTTCTCCCACCTTCCATCCTCTGATAGGCCCCAGTGTGTGTTGTTCTCCTCTATGTGTTCATGTGTTCTCATCATTTAGCTCCCTTATAAGTGAAAACATGCAGTACTTGGTTTTCCTTTCCTGCATTAGATTTCCAAGGATAATGACCATCAGCTCTATCCATATCCCTGCAAAGGACATGAGCTCATTATTGTTTATGGCTGCATAGTATTCCATGGTGTATATATACACATTTTCTTTATCCAGTCTACCATTGATGGCATTTAGGTTGATTCTATGTCTTTGCTACTTTGAATAATGCTGCAATTAACATCCATGTTCATGTGTCCTTATAATAGAATGATTTACATACCTTTGGCTATATACTCAGTAATGGAATTACTGAGTTGAATGGTATTTCTGTCTATAGGCCTTTGAGGAATCACCACATTGTTTTCCACAATGGTTTAACTACTTTACACTCCCACCAACAGTGTATAACTGTTTCTTTTTCTCCACAATTTTGCCAGCATCTGTTATTTTTTGACTCTTTAACAATAGCCATTCTGACTGATGAGAGATGATATCTTGTTGTGGTTTTGATTTGTATGTATCTAATGATCAGTGATGTTGAGTTTCTTTTCATATGTTTTTTGGCCACATGTATGTCTTCTTCTGAAAAGTGTTTACATCCTTTGCTCACTTTTTCATGGGGCTGATTATTTTTTCTTGTAAATTTGTTTAAGTTTCTTATAGATACTGAATATTAGGCCTTTGTCAGATGCATAGTTTGCAAAAATTGTCTCCCATTCTATGTAGTCTGTTCAATCTGTTGATAGCTTATTTTGCTGTGCAGAAGCTGTTTAATTGGATTCCACTTGTTAATTTTTGCTTTTGTTGCAACTGCTCTGACGTCTTTGTCTTGAAATTTTTGTCCATCTCTATATCTAGAATGGTCTTGCCTAGCTTGTCTTCCAGAGTTTTTATACATTTGGGTTTTACATTTAAGTCCATCTTTAGTTTATTTTTGTGCATGATGTAAGGAAAAGTCCAGTTTCAATTTTCTGCATATGGCCAGCCAGTTATCCTAGCACCATTTATTGAATAGGGAATCTTTTCCCCATTGCTTACTTTTGTCAGATATGTTGAAGATCAGATGGTTGTAGATGTATGGTCTTATTCCTGGGCTTTGTATTCTGTTCCATTGGTCTATGTGTCTGTTTTTGTATCAGTACCACGCTGCTTTCGTTACTGCAGCCAGGTAGTATGGTTTGAAGTCAGGTAGTGTGATGCCTCCAGCTTTGTTCTTTTTGCTTAGGATTGCCTTGGTTATTCAGGCTCTTTTTTAGTTCCATATGAATTATAAAATTATTTTCTCTAGTTCTGTGAAGAATGTCAATTGTAGTTTAAGGAAAATAGCATTGAATCTATAAATTGCTTTGGGCAGTACGGTCATTTTACAGACATTGATTCTTTCTATCCATGATTATAAAATGTCCATTTGCTTGTGCCATCTCTGATTTCTTTGAGCAGTGATTTATAGTTCACCTTGTAGAGATCTTTTACCTCCCTTGTTAGCTGTATTCCTAGGTATTTTATTCTTTTTATCCCAATTTTGAAAGGAAATGCATTCCTGATTTGACTGTCTGCTTGCCTGTTGTTGCTGTATAGGAATGCTAGCAGTTTTTGTACAATAATTTTGTATTCTGAGACTTGTTGAAGTTGTTGTTCAGCTAAGAAGTTTTGGGGCTGATACAATGGGTTTTTCTATATTATAGGATTATGTCATCTGCAAATAAAAATAGTTTAACTTCCTCTCTTCCTATTTGAATGCTCTTTATTTCTTTCTCTTGCCTGATTGCCCTAAATTTCAATACTACATTGAACAGGAGTAGTGACAGAGAGCATGCATGTCTTGTGCCAGGTTTCAAAGGGAATTCTTCCAGCTTTTGACCATTTAGTATGATATTGGCTGTGGGTTTGTCATATGTAGCTGTTATCATTTTGAGGTATGTTCATTTAATGCCTAGTTTATTGAGAGTTTTTAACATGAAGGAATGTTGAATTTTATTGAAAGCCGTTTCTACATCTATGGAGACAATCATATGATTTTGTCTTTAGTTCTGCTTCTCTGATGAATCACATTTATTGATTTGTGTATGTTGAACCAACCTTGCCTTCTGGGGGTGAAGCCTACTTGATCATGGTGTATAAGCTTTTTGATATTCTGCTGGATTCAGTTTCCCAGTATTTTGTTGGGGATTTTTGCATCGATGTTCATCAAGGATATTAGCCTGAAGGATGTTGGCCTGAAGATTTCTTTTCTGTTGTGTCTCTGCCAGGTTTTGGTATCAGGATGATTGTGGCATCATGGAATGAGTCAGAGAGGAGTCCCTCCTTTTCAATTTTTTGGAATAGTTTCAGCAGGAATGTTATCAGCTCTTCTTTGTAAATCTGGTAAAATTCAGCTGTGAATCTGTCCGGCCCTGGGCTTCTCTTGGTTGGTAGACATATTAGGTTTTTCAAGAGGGACAGAACTAATAGAATATATATGGAATATATAGATATATTATTATAGATAAGACTTGAAAGAAGAAATTATTTCAATATTTAAATACATATTCCATTAGTTCTGTACCTCTATAATATATATACACACATATATATATTCCATTAGTTCTGTCTCATATATATGTACATATATATAGGAGTTTATTAAGTATTAACTCATATGATCACAATGCCCCACAATAAGCAGTCTGCAGGCTGAAGAGCAATGAGAGCCAGTCTGGGTTTCAAAACTGAAGAACTTGGAGTCCAGTGTTCGAGGGAAGGAAGCATCCAGCACAGGAAAAAAGATGTAGGTTGGGAGGCTAGGCCAGTCTCTCTTTTCACATCTTTCTGCCTGCTTATATTCTAGCTGTGCTGGCAGCTGATTAGATTGTACCCACCTAGATTGAGGGTGGGTTTGCCCTTCCCAGCCCACTGACTCAAATATTAATCTTTTTTGGCAACACCCTCACAGACACACCCAGGATCAATGCTTTGTATCCTTCAATACAATTAAGTTGACATGATTAAGCATCACAGCAGGCTATTTATTATGGCCTCAATTTCAGACCTCATTATTCAACTACTCAGGGATTCAGTTTCTTCCTGGTTCAGGCTTGAGAGTGTGTATGTGCCCAGAATTTATCCACTTCTTCTAGACTTTCTAGTTTATTTGCATAGAGGTGTCTATAATACTCTCTGATTGTTGTTTGTATTTCTATGGGGTCAGTGGTAATATTCCCCCTTATCATTTCTGATTGTGTTCATTTGAATTTTCTCTCTTTTCTTCTTAATCTAGCTAGTGGCCTATTTTTCTAATTTTTATAAAATATGGAACGCTTCATGAATTTTCATGTCATCCTTGCACAGGGACCATGCTAATCTCTTTGTCATTCCAATTTTGCACATATGTGCTGCCAAAGTGAGTAAACTCATAAGTGGTAATCTAACAACCACCAATATTATAGATGTAGCACATACATTCCTAAAATTTGTACATAATGCCCCTTGAATGGGGGTGTCAGTTTTTTAATTAATTATTTTACAGAGAATTTTATGTATAGTCTAACAGAGAGGCAGAAGAAAGATGGGATGTAAGATTATTGAAGTCAATAGCACCATGTATGACTCTACTACTTGGGGATTTCTCATTTTCAAATGTTATTTCTTCCATAACATTCCTTGATCAAATTCATATTCTGTAGTTACTATTTCAGATAGCAAGTATAACTGAAAATGTGAAAATTATATTTTTATTCTTAAGAAAGCTTTGGGGGCAACCTGGGTGACAGTCAACATTGAAAAAAGTAAAAAAAGGTTTCTTCTATAAGTTCCAGAGATAGAAACTTGAGCAACTATGTATTATTTGGGTAGTGAAACAAGAGATTTGAAAATTACTGCATCAAATAAAAAATACAAAAAGCCAGCTTTAGAGTTGGTGTCATGGTATCCTCATTCCAACTAAAATTCTACAAATTTAGACAGAGACTCACCTGTGTTTCTGATAAGACTTGAAAGAAGAAATTATTTCAATTCCCTTTTAGAATGAATTAATTCAGATACCAGTCTAACTCACAGAGATTTCTAAGCACATCGTATTTTACTAGAAAAAGGTATAAAGAAACTTCCTGCTTTCTTGTATACTTTGTATAAGAGTCAGCCACAGAGCATGCTAAGACTTTGAAGATGGTTCAAGAGTCGAAAAGGATAAATTTAAAGGCAAAGCTTGGACTAGGGACACTTATTCATGAGTAAGGACTGCTAGGCTAGCCAAGAGGTAAATTGCCTTGCTTGTGGTGGTACATCAGACTCTGACTCAATCTAGACAGGGATCCCTTGCCAAGAGGGTCTGCTCAAGTATGTGGTCAAGGTGAGGCATGTAGTCAAGTTGCATTAGTCAGATTCTGGCAGGAAAACAATTACTCCAGATGGTGCAAATAAAGACACTTTAAGGTCTACTTACAAAATTCTGAGCAGAATTAAGAACAAGGAAGGGACATTGAGTCACCAGAGACTAACAACAGCAGGAAGTCATCACTATTCTTAGGCCTCCAGCTCAGAGCTGGAGCCTTGGGGAGGAGCCTCCTGGTAGGAGCTACAGGCCAAGAGAGATACTGCTGCTTCCAGAGCTGAGCATCAACCAGAAGCTTCCACCCTCTTATCTAATGTTGGAGTTTCACCTCACATTGGCCTAAGTCAGATATAGTAACAAATATTTTAGGCTTTTTGGGACATACTATCCCTGTTACAACTTCTGTAATCTGCTACTGTGGTGTAAAAACAGCCATAGACAATACAGAGACAAAAAAGCATGGCTGTGTTTCAATAAAACTTTATCTACAAAAACAGGCGGTGGGATGGATTCAGTCTATGGGCCAAAATCTAACCCAAAAGGAGTCTAGGTGAGGCAGTATGCCAGAATCAGCCACTTGTGACACAGAACAGGGTAGAGAAGGTAGAGAAGCAGAGAGAGCATGACTCTGGGGCCAGGAGAGAGACACAAATAGCAAATAACCAGCACACAATTCTTCAGGTAGCCCATTTGGCAGAAAGCAACAACTCACTCTTCAGGAGGGATATGAAGAACAATGTCTACTGCTCTTCTCCTTGGTGACTTTAAGAGAAGCCGAGCAGGAGGAAAAGACCTTAGTCAAGGAAAATGGAGCTCAGGATGACATCCAGAGGTAAAACAGTTAAGTAGACTCCAAGTTGAAATAAAGTCCTTAGTTCCCAATAAGTGAGCCACCTACCTTAGGCCTACATGAGGAAACTGAGGCCTATATGAGGAAACTGACAAGAAAGGCTTCTGCTGAGTGAGCCTAGGGATGCTTGAGGCTCATGCTGGGCTAATGCTTCCACATTTATAACAGTTATTAATCTTTGGAATTCAGAAATGATAAATCAGACTTCATGGGTATTGTCAGGAATTCTTAAAATCACAAGCTCTTCCTAAAATATTTCCAAAATCTCTCATACTCTCTACTCAGTACAGCTGATATCTGAAATATATATATTTAATAAATAAGAATATTAATTTTTGTAATATTTTGTAGCTATTATCAGATATTTGAACTGAAAAATGGCAATGAACATTATTGGGTGGTATTCAGATAATATATTTGTACATCCTACCAAGCTTAACAGCATGACATAAAATTGCATATAAAAATTGCCAATTTAAGGACTTATTTTGATCCTAAAATGTGTTATTTCTTGGAACACCACTCATAGTATTTGTTTAAAGTATTCTGTGTATATAAACTGCCTAATGTTTATTTTATGTGCAAGAATAATTAACCATTGGCAGCAGACAGGCCCACACCACTCACATATTAGATGGCAACAGCTACAAGCAAGACCAACTGATTCAGTTGCGACCATTTCTCTTCTGTGTTCCTGCCCTGAAACTGTCCACTTAACCTCCTGCTCAGAATTCCAGTGTTTCCTGCTCTTGCCTTCCATTTGAGGTCAGCAGATTCCTTACAACCAGTAACATCTCTTTGTTGATCGTTAAGCTTTAATTCTTGTGGGGGAATTATAATATTATCGCACATTTTTTTAAATTTTTCTGATTTCTCAACTGATCTTCCTGTGGATCTTAGATTTGTGAAAATATATAAGTTTCTTGGGAAATGCTAGGAAAGAATTCCCATATGAACACATTCTACCAAGCCTAGCATGTGCAGGACTGATGGCGACTATGCTTGCTTCTACCCTAACCATCCATGAGATGGGTCTGAATGAACTGCCAGGCTGAACCTCATGGTTTTAGGATCTACGTAAGCAGTTTAAGATATCTTTGTTCCTGTGGGGCTAGACCATCCATGTAAGGACCTGAATCTGCTTGGTTTCAGGACTAGTCACACTATGGGTGTTAGACTTCTCGATCTCAAGACATACTTGAAAGGGAGATTACAGATTATTACACTTTCCAATAGGCTTACTGGTAAAAATTTGGACAGAATTGCCCATGAGCCACAGTGCTAAGAAAAAATTCTAACCTGTATTCTTTGCTCAAAAATGGCTTGCCAGATCCTAAATATGTGCTCAGTTCAACAACATTAGAAAAATGGGGATCACTGTAAATTTCTAAATGGAAAGCAACATATGCTTCATTGTTAAGAAGCCAGTTCTCTATATTAGTTGAATGTTGTTCCATCTTTCCACCTATAACTTTCTCCCACCTCCTGGTACTTCCTTCAGTAGGACCCCAGAGCCCCCAGGTTACTTTTTAAACATTCATCCATTTATTCATTCAACAAATATTTATGGAGCATTTATTATATTCTAGGTACTCCACTAAGTCTCTGAAGATATATACACAATCTTGCTGTCATGGAACTTACAGCATAGCAGGGAGATAAGCAATATACAAATAATTATGCAGAATAATGACTTAAAGGATCCACTCCCCTAGAAAGCACAAATTACAAACTATGAGATGTGCTACGAGAAGAAGTAACTCTTTACTCATTATTGCTGATATCTGAAAAAAAAAAAATGTCTTGCCCAAGATCATGGAATGTGGGGAAAGGGGAAACAGGAGAAGTGCTTCAAGAAAAAGGAAGAGCAGAGACAAAGGACTGAGGGGAGGAAGGTGCTCTGTGAGTTTTGAGAAAGTGGAGAAATCAAGTACGGCTGGAGTACCTGGTGAAGGGCATGATAGACATGGAGAGGGGTCACGCAGACTCCCCTCCATTGTGCCAGCTGTCAGCTCCACCAACATCTACCAGGGCTAAAAAGACCCACTCTGCTCAAATTCATGCCTAGGGTCATACCCAAACACATGGTAGGCAAGACAGAAAGGCCTGAAGCAGGATAATTGTGATGAGCAAAACTCACTTTGGATCTTCCCACTATGTTGGCTAAGGCTTTCTTGGCCCTGCATGAAGCTCAACTTCTTCCTCTGCCCCATTCTGTTTTCTTCCCCTTTCCTTTCATAGATACTCACATTTATTAATAAACACTGTATACTCCAAACTCTGTCTTAGTGTCTGCTGCTGGAAAACCCAGATGAGGGGAATTGTAAGATGAAGGAAAGGTAAGGAGGAGACAGGTCATAAGAGACTTTTTTTTTTTTTTTTTTTTTTTTGAGATGGAATCTTGCTATGTCACCCTGCCTGGAGTGCAGTGGTGTGGTCTCAGCTCACTGTAATCTCTACCTCCCAGGTTCAAGCAATTCTCCTGCCTCAGCCTCCCAAGTAGCTGGGATTACAGGCCCATGCCACCATGCCCAGCTAATTCTTGTATTTTTAGTAGAGACGGGGTTTCACCATGTTGGTCAGGCTGGCCTCAAACTCCTGACGTCAAGTGATCCACCCACCTCAGCCTCCCAAAATGCTTGGATGATTATAAGTGCGAGCCACCACACCCGGCCAAGAGACTTTTTTTTTTAACTTTTTTTTAACGTGTACTTAAGTTCTGGGGTACATGTGCAGATCTTGCAGGATTGTTGCATAGGTATACACATGCCATGGTTGTTTGCTGTCTACATCCCCCCGTCACCTACATCAGGCATTTCTCCCAGTTTTATTCCTCCCCAACCTCCCTGCCTCCTGCTGTCTCTCCCCAGCCCCCCACTCCCCAAAATACCCTAGTATGTGATGTTCCCCTCCCTGTACCCATGTGTTCTCGTTGTTCAACACCCACCTATGAGTGAGAACATGAGGCGTTTAGTTTTTTCTGTTATTATGTCAGTTTGCTGAGAACGATGGTTTCCAGATTCATCCATGTCCCTACAAAGGACACGAACTCATTGATTTTTTATGGCTGCATGGTATTCCATGGTGTATATGTGCCACATTTTCCTTGTCCAGTCTACCTTCGATGGGCATTTAGGTTGGTTCCAGGTCTTTGCTATCGTGAACAGTGCTGCAATAAACATGTGGGTGTATGTGTCTTTATAGTAGAAAGATTTATAATCCTTTGGG